TGCAAGACAAAGAGCAGCTGAAACAAGAATGCAATCGAAGACTTCAAGCACAAGCTGCAAGGCAGGCTGCTCAAACACAGGAAGAGACTTTGGAACAACGTAAAGTTAGACTTTGAGCTCAAGCTGAAAGGCAGGCTACTCAAAGACAGCAAGAAACTGTTGAACAGCACAAAGCAAGAGTTCAGTCAGAATCATCAAGGCAAGCTGGATATAGACAACAAGGAACTTCTGAACAACGTCAAACCAGACTTCAAGAACAAAAATTAAGACAACTTACAATGAGCAAGAAACAGAGGAGCAACATGATGTACGACTTCAGGCTCAAAGAACAAGACAAGCTCAAACACGATCTAATTTCAAATAAAGCTTTGTTTGATTAAATGCTTTTTTATTTCTCGCATCACAACTTTTATCTACTTACTGAATAATTTGCTGAAAAAAATACTGATCTATACAATTCAAATCTAAATTTTCACCATGCAACACCGGGTAACTCAGCTTGTTCTCAATAGATGTAGTGATCTGAAATGTATGAACTATATTTATATCTGTTGGTTCCTTATAAACCTTTTATTGATAATATTTGAAGAAAGTGTCATGACAATTTAAATAATGGATGGGTTGACACTTTATCCATGACCTAGTTGTATCCATTGTCAAACTACTTTCTGTGTTATGGGAGTGGCCATACATACATGTCACTTTGTTACTTGCTGTTTGACTGACAGGCCCTAACATTAACAACTCTAGTGGACTGTTCAACTGACAGACCCTAACATTAACAACTCTAGTGGACTGTTCAACTGACAGACCCTAACATTAACAACTCTTGTAGACTGTTTGACTGACAGACCCTAAAATTAACAACTCTTGTGGACTGTTTGACTGACAGACCCTAACACTAACAACTCTAGTTGACTGTTTGACTGACAGACCCTAAAATTAACAACTCTAGTGGACTGTTTGACTGACAGACCCTAACACTAACAACTCTAGTGGACTGTTTGACTGACAGACCCTAACACTAACAACTCTAGTGGACTGTTTGACTGACAGACCCTAACACTAACAACTCTAGTTGGACTGTTTGACTGACAGGCCCTAACATTAACAACTCTAGTGGACTGTTTGACTGACAGGCCCTAACATTAACAACTCTAGTGGACTGTTCAACTGACAGACCCTAACATTAACAACTCTTGTGGACTGTTTGACTGACAGACCCTAAAATTAACAACTCTAGTGGACTGTTTGACTGACAGTAACAGACCCTGTCCAGTCTTTAAAAAGGGGAGCACTGCATAGTTACATTAACTAAATCAGAAGCTGCTTAAGATCTTAAAACCACACAGAAGTATCTGATTTAGTTACTTCAACTGCTTAAGATCTTACAATCACATAGAAAGATCTGGTTTACTAAGAGTGCTTAACCCTATCGGGACCACAAGCATGGCATGCTGTCATCTCTGTCTGTTTTGCTGTTACCCTTAAAATACTTAACATAACTGCATGAAATTTGGTTAAAATTGTCTACATAATACTTAGCTTGTGTATGAAGTAAATTGATCTAATATTTCTTTCTTTCACCTTACAGTTTCTGTTATCCTTATTAAATGATGTACCCAATCTTTTCACAAAACAATAACTATTCTGTTTTCTTCTAATAATGGCACACTTGTATTACAGTTTTCAGGGTTAACATCTTTGGAGGCAACAATTTATCTTATTACTAAGAGATTTATTTAATAAATTTAAATACACAAAAACAACTGTGGAAATAAATAGATTTCATATCTTCAAGATAATGCATTAACTTTTGATTCATTATACTTACAGTAGGAACAAAAAGTCGAATAGTGACTGTTTCAGTACTTGGAAGTGGTATTTGTTTCAAGGCCTGTTGTGCAGACACCAAAGTAATTCTACAAATAAATTATTTAGATCAGAGTAAATTCCAAATAAAACATTATCTATTATTTCTTCTGATCAGCTATTAATGACATAAATATCTACAGTTACTCAACATCCACTTCCTATCCTTCTTAAAGCTAAGATCACATCATCAATTACTAACGATGTAAACATCTAGTTACTGAACATCCACTTCCTATCCTTCTTAAAGGTAAGATCACATCATCCATCACTAATAACGTAAACATCTACAGTTACTCAACATCCACTTCCTATCCTTCTTAAAGCTAAGATCACATCATCAATTACTAACGATGTAAACATCTAGTTACTGAACATCCACTTCCTATCCTTCTTAAAGGTAAGATCACATCATCCATCACTAATAATGTAAACATCTACAGTTACTCAACATCCACTTCCTATCCTTCTTAAAGCTAAGATCACATCATCCAT